TTACATTCTCTGATATTGGAGTAAGTTATATCTTTTAGAATTTGCTTATGACATATACATCTTTAAAATATATATCGCTAAAAATTTGTTAAGTTTATGTGTGGTCTCGGTTAGACAGCTTTATCTACTTACCTACTTTATCTGCTTTTTATCTACTTACCTATCAAGCGAATCGAAACGCTATAAAGCGGATCAAAGATATAATTTTAAAATCTGGAACTCTTTTTACAAGTTAAATTGCAACAATAATTGATCTAAACATATTTAGTAATAGTTGGTGGTGATTTCTTGCATTAAAAATAAGCTACGATTTATATTAAGTGCGGTTTTGAAATTATATACACATATATGTATGTAAGCCGGTTAAGCAGTTATGTAGAAGCCAGTCAAGCAGTTATATATTATAGTCAAGCAGTAGCAATGATTAAGTTAAGCAGTCAAGTAGAAGTCGGTGAAGCAGTTTCATAGTCAAGCAGTAGTGGTAGTAGTAGTTAAGTCACCAGTCAGCAGTTAAAGAGTACGGTTGTGAATATTAAATTCTATACTTTTAATTATTAACCTTAATAAAGTCTTTTAAATTGTATATATTAATTGGAGCTTGTCTTTTACATGAATATACATGTTCCTTTTTTTTGCAAATAATCTTATTTACAGTTATCAGAACGAGTATAGTTATTTGAAAGTAAAAACAGCATCTGCTTCGCAAAGTCGGTATCATCTGCCCGACTTTTTTAATTATAAATTTCGGATACTTTGTACACTGAATATATGATTGCATCAATAATTGAGCTAACAAAATTACTCTAAAACCATATTCTATGTGCGTATATTTTAGAAAATTTTATAAAAAAAACGTTGTTTAGCTTACGTTTTAAAATTTGTACCATTTATAGTATTCCTTATATATATTATTTTATTTTGTGTACCACTACCGACACATTATGGCATATCAATAATAATGTATAAGCAGTGGTCATCAAACTTTCTATCATTTCTGCTAGAATAAAATTTGATCATCTAGTTTCGTGGCATTAAATATTGCTTTTAAACTGTGCCGTTGTGGTTATTTATGTCGTCTCACCATCTCGATAATTAGTAAAACTTCAACGGAAGTTATGAACGGCATTTTGTCGTTGCGTCGAAGCGATTCTAGAACGTCGACCCGGCCATCTTTTATCCGTCAATTGAATGTATATGAAATTAGGTGGAAGTTGACTTTTGCAAAACTTGTAAATCAAATACAATCTCGAATCCATGATTCCAATCCTTATGCGACAGATTTGACGTAGTCACTTCTCTAACTATTAACAAGCTTAATATCTAATGACAAGTGCTGTTTAAACATAATTATTAGGAGTTTTTACATCAATTACTGCAATTGATGAAATATATATCCATATTATTACACTAAAATGAAAACGCAGTCAGTTAAGTTTAATGAAAACAGTCTGTAAATCTCAGAGAAAAATAATAAACCTTAATGGTTAATTGGTGCATTTAAAAAAGACAATCGAGAATAGTACAGCTTGACGAGGTTTAAAAATGACTGCCCACCAATATAAAGCACAGTCCATCAAGTCATTTCACTTCGAATTTCTTTCCAAATCACCATATTTTGTAGGGTCTGTTATCTGATTCCTTCTTCGAGCCTAGCTCTCACCGACTGTTCATATTGTTAGCAAACCTAAAGAAAGAAATTTATTTCTTAATTACTTTTTAAACTCTCTCGGTTATAATTGACTATTATGTATGAAAAACTTTTTGAAATGTTTTTTAATTAATTTAAAATTTGAATTTTTCCAATTTCTTAGTAAAACTAATCAAAATTGGTATTGTTTAAAGCTGTTCGTTTTTGAAAATTTTGTTTTAAAAATAGTTAATTAATGAAAATTTAAAGCATTTTGGCCGGTTATTATAAAAATTACATAGATGAGACAGGGATTTGGTAGAATACATTTATGACAAAGTACAAAGGAAGATTTTACAAAATTTATCGTGTAAATCTTTTAAAATTATATGTTTACTGCATTCATGTTGCATAAAAATTGCCGCTTTTATTAAAACCAGTGGCAATTCATGTCCAACTACGTATGTATATTAAGTTAGAGACAAAGTTAAATTAATTTAATAAATAAAATTTATTTTTGTTAATGAATTCAACTTTTTAGCCGGGCGAAATCATACAAATTCACATTGGGCAGGCTGGTGTACAAATCGCAAATGCTTGTTGGGAACTGTACTGCTTAGAACATGGTATCAAACCCTGTGGTCATCTGGCTTATAAGCCAACCGATTCATCATACAACACATTCTTTCAACTGTTAGAACCTCAATGCAAAGTTGAGCCGAGAATTGTAATGATCGACACGGAACCAACCGTTATTGGTTTGTACGTTTGTGCCTTGTGGTTTAACAGTTTTCTAATAAAACTCAATTGTATGCTAATTTTAGATGAGATACGTACTGGTGCCTATCGTAATCTCTTTCATAAAGATACATTAATAACGGGACTGGATGATAGCGGTAGTAATTTTTCGCGCGGGTACAATTATCTGGGCATAGAGTTGCTTGAACGTGCTATGGAAGGTGTACGGAAGGTAGCAGAAAATTGCAGAAATTTACGTGGATTTTTATTCTTTAGATCAATTGGAGGTGGGACTGGTTCGGGTTTTGGTAGTTTGATGATCGAAAAGTTAGCTGATCACTATCCGAAAACTACCAAAATTGAGTTTTTAGTGTTTCCGTCACCATCGTAAGTATTGACCATTATTTTCAACACAGTATAACTGCCATTTATGTATTTTATTTCAATTTAAGGTTATCATCAATCATTGTCGAACCATACAATGCAGTTTTAGCAACGCACTTCTCTATGGAAAATATTAATGTCTCGTTTATAGTGGATAATGAGGCTTTATATGAAGTGTGCGCTTCGCAATTAAATGTCCATACGCCCACCTACACAAATTTAAATCGCATAATTGGTCAGGTCTGTTTTATTGATTCATATATTTCAATAAATATTAATAAATTAAATGTAATGTTTCAGGTTGTATCGGCTTTTACAGCTTCCCAACGATTTCAAGGTTCAACAAATGTAACTTTCGATGAATTTCAAACAAATTTAGTACCTTTTCCCCGCATACACTACCCGTTAATTAGTTACGCACCACTTATGCCGCTTAAAAGTTTTCCATACGTTAATTTGACCGTTGAAAGTCTTACAACTGCCGTGTTTCATCCTGGACATCAGATGGTGCGATGCAATCCACAAGAGGGCAAATATATGGCATGCGTATTGCTCTATAGAGGCGATGTGTCGCCAACTGATATAAACTCAACAATTCTTAATATGAAAAGGTCAGGAGCTTTACGTTTTGTTGATTGGTCTCCAACTGGCTATAAGGTTGGTATTAATGCAATGCCGCCTAGTTTTGTACCTGGTGGGGATTTATCTCCATCGAATAAAGCGGTTTGTTGTATTGCCAACAATACATGCATACGCAGAGCCTGGTGCCGACTTATACATAAATTCGCCCAATTATATAACCGTCGTGCCTTTGTTTATCATTATGTGGGCGAGGGCTTGGACGAAGGTAGTTTATCGGACGCCTCTGCAAATCTTTGTCAACTAGTTGGAGACTATGAAGATGTTGATAGTCTTGGTAGTAAATAATAAAAATATAAGTGAATGAGAGTCGTAACGTATATTTGTATCTGTATCAAAATTAATGTGTAAATCGAAATTTATACTAGAGTTTTTTTTTTCTTTTCTTTTAAGTAATCCGTTGTATAGATTTTTCTGTGAAATAAATGTTTTGGGTATTGTTTAAAAAATACAGACTTTATATTATATTGATGTAAAACTTTTAATCGGTTCAAGAGAACCACGAAGTCTCCGATCAAAAAAGTTAAGTTCTTTCAAATAATGGCTAATAATAATAATTTCGGAAAGAGTAGTGTAAATTACTAGAGTTATCTCTCTATACATAATTTTAAGAATATTGTTTACAATTCACATAAAATAATTCTTGTATGTTTGATTTTAAGCCAATTAAAATATATTCTTAAAGAAAACAATATTAAGAGAAAGGTTTTTTGATTAGTATTAACTGACTACTGTTTAAATATTATAAATAATTAGTAGTTATTTCTTATATTTAATTATTTATAAAAAATTTTTAAACTGAGGATATAAAGGGTTGAACTTGTATTCTGTCAAATTTGAGGCCAAAATCGGTGTCATTTCCCGATTCAAGGCCGCACTTGAATTGTATGTTCAAACGTGGAATTAAATTATTTCACACTTTTTTTAATTATTAATTTTAGTACTATACTTTTTTGTTATAAAACCTGTATGTTTAGCCAAAAATTTAATTGATTATATCAGGGCTGTCCAGCGCACAGCCTGCGACCCGCATGCAGCTGTTTGTGCGACCCGCGCCATTTCTTTTTATCTACCACAATTAAGTAAATTTTCTTTTAGTTTACTGGTAAAACTATGTTATTATACTATTATTATTACTATATTATTACGATATTATAATTATTAATATTAATAAAACTAAATTTAAAATTACAAACGTATTTTCATTTTTGTCGAAAACACCTGGTCGCTTCTGGACTGGACAGCCCCAAATCAAATAATAAGAATTTTGTTGTAATTAATCACTGTTCCCAATATCTTTTGTATTCGGAAATGATTTAATTTTACAATTGATTTTTTTTAACTTGAGGATCAGGTCATTTGTTGTTCAAGGTTTGGCGTGTATAACTCATTCTACTTCAGATCCTGCTTCGAAGCTTTTTCTTGAACTGTACAGTATGTAGTTGTTGCATTCAATTTTTTCTTTACTTTTTATTTTTATTTTGTGATATTGCATATATATGACATTTTTGCTACTCTATTTTTAATCAACGAAGCCTAATCCTAGTTGAGAAGTGATTTGATATTCGAGCTCACTAAGCAGAGTCTGTTCTCTCACGTCGTTTTTGAGATCAACTATACAGCATTTGTTTTAAATTTTTATAGTATATGTACAAACGATCATCCCATTTGTTTTATAGTTCTTAGTTATCGGCGTTTTCCATCATAAAATACTTTAGCTAATATGTAGGTAAACCCATATTCAAAGAAGGTTTTTTTTAGGATCATTTGCCGACAGGCCTCTATATTTAACGAAACCTTCTATAATGAATTTCTCCCTATAACAATATTTTTCAACGATTACAATGTTTTATATAGGTTTTTAGTTATTTTATAAATTTTAAGACGTCATAATGAAACCTTTTTAAAATGAAGTATTCTAAACAGGTTTTGCCGGTACGACTGTCTTTGTCAAGTATTTATCTTGGGTAATGCTATGGCATACCTGATGAGAACGCGAATGTAAAAAAAAACAGTTAATTGTTGGTTGATTGTCCCTGTTTCGGGAGTAGTAAACGAGCTGTGAACAGTTGGAATCGTCAGCATTAATAAATAATTTTTATCATTACGATATTAAGGGATATTACATTGTTCCGTTTATTGTAAATAATAAAAGCATCTAACATATTTAAGTGTGTTTATAGTCTCTCTTACAATTGCAGGAAATATAGTATATGCAATATATGTTATACATATTGACTTTTTAAAGGACATGGAAACTAATTTTCAATATCAACTGGAAATAAGCTCTCCTTATAAGTTAATATAAGGAGATATAAACGAAGATATAAAATGAATGAATAAGGAAATAATTGTAGTTATCTACATTTTTGATAAAAGAACTACTATTTCAGAATTTTTAAATGAACATTTGAATTCTAAATAGTGTTTTTGAAATATTTTATTTTTGATTAAATGTTTTTTAGATAAATATATTTTGGGGCCTTGCATCTTAGACCTATGTTATGTAGAGTGTTACGGGTACGTCAAAATCAAAGTTGTTGTTTTTAATGTTAATTAAAAAACAGAATGAGAGAAAAAACAAATGGTTTAAATTCGGTCACATGAGAGCTGAAACTATGTGTGCCTCGTCACACAGTCAAAGCCGTGTTCTATGTATTTATGCATATATATTCTTCAAAAATTAGGCACAACTAGAAAGAACAAAAGTAATAGTAAAAATACAAAACTGACCAATTTTGAGGTGCCTGCGACACTTCATAACATGGACCTTGATCAAACATGTACGTTTTTGCTGAACCATAGAAGTGATTCCTGAGTGAACACCTTTGTGTATAAATTGAAATAGCAACTATCAAAAAGAAACAAAAGCAACAATTCCATTTAAAATCAAAATTTGTTCATATCATAAATTGTTTTTATTATACATATCTAAAGAATGTAGCACAACAATATATATATATATATATATAGTACATAACAAAATCAAGGAACGCTCAGTTTTACCAAATTCTTAGTTGGTGATTTAAGGATTCTTTTTTTTTAAAGAAATTTCTGAAGCAACTAGATTTGAATAAATGTACGCAACTACTGTGAATAACGCAATAAGTTAAATTAAAAAATTGTTGCATACATTTGTGCTTATTCCATAGTGAGTAAGCAAAGTGATCCTAAAATTATGTTATGAGTAGTATTTATTCTAGCTGCGGGTTCAGAAAAATACCAGATCTCATTTGGTTTAATGAAAAGTAAGTACTACATAACTTTAGATAACTGTACTTTAGTCCTAACTTCTAGCCAGGACTTCTTCAAGTTCGGGCAATCATTGCGCTTTGCATATAACAAAATATGCATGTATTTTCTCTTTTACGCTCTATCACATCAGGTGTTGTTGTTGTTTTTGGGACCTGCAGAGATCTGATTGTGTAGTTTCTTTAAGATGTGACAAACGGTCTTGACTATCAAACTTGACGAATGCCTTCGGGATGTAGATCCGGCCGTTCTCGGAGTCACCATATTAAATTTTTTGTTTCTAAGTAAAAAAAATAGTTTTGACATATGAAATCTGGGCGTAAAAATGTTGGTAAAAGTAAGCTTTTCCGGAGTTATAATTAATAATTTCCAAAAGAAAGAAAACAACTTAAGAGAACCATAATATTTGATGTATGATTGATTGGCGGCAGTGGTTGATAGGCAAATAACATTTCGCTTTTCATAATTAGGCGTTTTCGGTTGCTCGAAGTATGGCAGAAAATGCATGTTGGCCTATATTCGCTAAGCGAGATATTGGCATCACTATTGCAACCTGTCAAGTGTTATGTTTTGGCAAATGGCAAATCTTGCATATGTGCACATAATGCAAGCAAATTACATTTTGTATAAAAATAAATAATTAATATAAATTAAAAATAAGACTTAAAAGGAATGGTAAAAATGTTAATTATAAAATAAAACACTGAAATTTTTTCTTTTTTCCCAATTTTCAAATCAATGAAATTTTTTATATTTGATTTTTGACATATGGACATATTTCCAAGGAAGACTCACAATAATTCGCTTATTGCGTTAGTAATAGTTTTTTCTTTACTGGACGAAGTGTTTGGCTAGTGAAGAAGTTACGGCCTAGATAGGATAATAGATAGATAGGGAAAAAAGTGTTATCTTGCGTACATTTAAGCAATTATAGGCTAGCAACTTGATGTTTTTTGCCACACTTGTGAGCCACTGAAAACGCGTATTGTTATTTTCTCACGTTTCACTAATGTGATGGTGTAAGAAATCCTTTTTGATAAGCTAGTTCTATTCAGTTAAGTTTAATAGATTTATTTTACTGATGTACAGTCTGACAGTCTGTCAAGAAACTCAAGAAATTACTTCCCTAAAAATTTTTTCTTTTGTTAACCAAGGCATAGATTGCACAGAGAATGTGTATAGTTTTCTCTTTTTTGTCTTAAGATTTTGCAATATCTACATACAATAGGTTATACTATAAAATACTATATTATACTGTAAATATAACATTACAAACATGAGCAATTAGTACCTGAATTATTTAAGATTTATGGTAAAATGATTAAATTTGGATCTCTTATCCTAAGAGTAAATTTCAAGGCTCAAATACCAGGTGCGGCAGCTCTAGTATGTGAACCAATTTATTAAGATAAACATATTAATTTTCCAAATGTGGCAGGCATCTTCTTTTTCTTTCGCCAACTCACTTATGTGTACTAGTATTTAAATAATATTTCTTTTTCATTATTACTCAACTAAATCTGTGTACTTCTTTATAAAATCGCTGACTCCAGAAATATTATTGTTTGTTTCGGAAGCCAAATGATTTTTATCCTGTTTTTTCAATCATGGAAATACCATCGCATTTAATTCATCTCAAATAGAGCACTCAAACAATTTTATTTTGTCTCGAATTTATGGGTTTTTTTTTAACTAAATTATTAAACTGCGTTCAATATAAATGTACAATATGAATATAGATAGATTACAGATCGGGTTTTGCAGATCCGACTTAAATGTCGAATATCATATGCTGTTTTATCATTCAATTGATTAACTTAGGTATGAAATAAATATTGGAACTAAAACAAAGCAGGTAATATTGATGAAATATACTTTATTCTCTACAGTTTCCTATAGGAACTATATATAGAAGTACGCTGATGGCTTAGTATTTACAACAATTACTCTGTTGAAGATTCATCTTCATAAGATAGACAAGAAAGTAGAGACTTCTTGTCACTTATTAAAATGAAAAAAAAAAAACTATTTGGGAAGAATGTTGCTCTTACATTCCTTATAACTGTGCTCTTCAATTGAAAATATTCTAAATATATTCTACAATAACTCAATGGGAAAAATATTAATTAGGAATATAAATTTTAAACTGGCAACTATGAAATCCACAATTCTTAAATAATCCATATATATTTTTTAT